GGAGTGAGTCTCTGTGTCGCGCGGCGGGGGGGGGGGGGGGGGGGGGGCAAGAACTCCCACTGTGCCTTCGGGCTACCGAGTTCTCTGGCCTATGAACAGAGGCCCTTTCTCTCAGGTGCAGCAAGTTCTTTCCATTTGGGCAGCCAGCCTTGTGAGCTTCTGAAAAGGGATGCGGACGTTCCAGGGTCATCTCTCAGGACCCTCCTGCTCCACTGAGGCGCCAGTTGGCATCTCACCCTCTGCCAAGGGGTGGCAGGGAATCACCCCATCATCTCTTGCAGACGGTGGGCAGCAGAGCTGGCCGGACCCAGGAGGGCTTGGCCACGCCCCTTTCCCCTCCCTTGAGGCACAAAGGAGGAACTCAAAAGTGGTTTGAGATTTGAACAAACTTTCCTTTATTAGGTTACTGACTATTATCGACCATCATAAAAGAGAACGGGAGTTTCAAAACTGTACAAGCCACGAGGCTCTGAGCTGATGGGGAAAAGGAGTGGGGTCCCAGGGAGTTGAGGAGTGGACGATGCAGAGAGCCTGGTGGTCCATCCAGCACCCCCGGGGGACGGCGGGTCAAGGGGACAAGCTGGGATCTGTACATGTGAAACTCTCACGTGCAACATTCCTCAGGACAGGACCCATCCTGCAGCAACAGCTATGAGGAGAAATCTTCAAAAGTCTTACAGGTAAGGTCCTCTGCTCCCCAAAGCAAAAACCCTCAAAATAATAAGGGGGTAATTTACATTCCTCACCCAGTCTTGGCACCAATTCTGTGCTTTAAAAAATATACTCCACTGGAAGTTGTTTCTTTTTAAAAAGGTACACTACAGCAGCTGTTTCAAACATAATTCTTACAGACAAATATATATATGTGTGTGTATATATATATTAAACATTTTAAACAAATAGAGTCATCTATTGTACCTGTGCAGAAATGAACTGAAGCCACACTCTGAGAGCTGACCTCAGGATAAAAGAAATGGCAAAGGCAGTGGCAGGGGTTGGGGTCTGCCACGTGGGGAGTTTCTGGAGAGGTCATGACAGTGACAAAGGAGAGGGGACCTCCTTTGCTTGCCGACTGCCCCTCGCCACCCATCTTGAGGCTCTGAGGGGGGTCGGGGCGTACTGGGGCTGCTCCACCTGGGCCCAGAACTCAGGCAGGACTGCTGAGCAGAGACCTGTGCTGGCTTCCCAGAGGCCCCACGCTGCTCCTGGTCTCCCCAGTTCTACCCTGCTCCTGGCTTTAGGGATGGAGACCCACTTACCACCCCTTCCTAATTCTGTTGGTCCTCTGGTATCCCCAGAATGCACTTGGGAAGTCTCAGCTAGGAAAATAAAATCAAAAACCACACTAAAAACCCCACAAAAGACTAAAGAAATCCAACCATGTGCAAAGACGTATGAGCCGAGAGGTAAATGGCTACCTGCAGACCCAGGGCAGCGCCACGGCCTCTAGACCGGCTCGCGAAGACACGCATATTGCACATGACACGCACTCTCCCTGAGGGCCCGCCGGCAACTTGCAGCAGAGCCCCCTGGACACGGCGGGCTAGGGGACCCAAACGCTGCCGCCCTTGGACCTGTGCACACATGCACACGTGCTAAGGGCTTGGCCCAGGGACAAGGCCAGGTGAGGCACACACATACCAGGGAGGGGCAGGTGGAAGAAAAGCAACAGAACGCGCCGGAGAGAGGTGACCGAAACAAGGCTTCCTTTCTAAATGGAATAAATAAATGGCTTTGTTATTGTTAAAAGAATAAATACAGGGTACAGGGGGCACCGGCAGCTGGGATCAGCGCTGGGTGCTTCTTTGCCTATGGAAGGTCCATTGGGTTCTGCCTTGGTGTCCAGGGCTAGTTTTTGACGTCCTGAGCTTCATGAGCTGCAGCAGGGCCCAGCTGGGCACTGTGGCTGGACACCTGCCCTTATGTAAGCACCGCTCAGTGCTCCTGGTATCTGCTCTCGGAGTGTGGCCCTTCCCGCTGCCCTCCACCCTGGGACCCCCAGGCCGCTGCAGCCTTCTCCCGAAGGTGTGGGTGCATCGGCCCCACCCGAGAGCAGATGGAGCTCAGTGTAGGGCATTAGTGTGAGTTTCTTCTCCTTCATTTCTCAAGGAGAGGCTGGAAGGTGGCATGCAGGGACACTGCCTTCTGCCAGCATCGGGAAGGGGGAAGAGGAGCCCCTGCGGCGTCTGTCCGTGTCCGGCCGAGGCAGCAGGAGGATGAAAAGGAGGGGCAGGGCTTCTGCCCATGGCTGCGAACCCTGGTCCCAGGTGCAGGGTGCGGTGGCCCCGGCGGCAGCAGGCGGCTTAGTGAGTTGGCACCAGGTGGCTGTCGTGCTGGTGGTCCTGAGCGGAGCATCACTGGTAGAGGAGGTAGGCCTTGAGGGAGGCAGGCAGCGGCAGTGCCTGGATCTCACCCAGTCGCTCCTTCCCCAGGGCCAGGCGCACGGAGCGCCGACAGAGATCCATGAGCGGCAGCGGCTCGGCTGGGGGAACAGAGGAGAGAGACTGTAGGTGAGCACACGGTGAGGGACCCGACTCTGGCAAGCAAGTCTCACAGCAGCAGTATCAGCGGCGACAGGCAGGAATTTCAACAAATAGTAAATAAATAGTAATAACTCAGTTGTCGGATCTTTAATTTTACAGCAAACTCGGGCGAGGTGGTTCAAGCTGGCGAGTGCTGCTGTGTGGGCTGGGGGCACATGGGAGCCCCAGTTTCAGTTCCTGGCCCAACTGAAACAGGCTGGGTGTGGCGGTGCACACCTATAAGCCTAGCTAACCTGAAGGCTGAGCCAGAGAATCTTGGCATGGCAAGACCCTGCCAAAAATACCTACCTCTCTCTCTCTCCCCTTCTCATTAAAAAAGTTACCCTTAATAACTAGCACAGAGAACCCGTTTTGAGCTGGCACCTTAGTAAGTGCTCTGTAAACACTAACTCGTTCAAGCCCCACGGTGACTTGTTCATGACCGGATAATCAGGGAGAGACTCTTCTCCCCACTGCGGACATGGAAACTGATGGATGGGGTCTCAATGACTCCAGAGTTGCACTCTTGGCAGAAGGTAGGGCTAGGATTTGAACCCAGGCCACCACTGCTCTTCCCGCTGAGCCACTCTATCCTGTCCCTTCCACACAGGTCAATCTGGGCCACACAAAAGCAGCTCTCCCCAGTACGCACCCCTGGCCTCAAACCTTACACAGGTGCTAGGAAGGGAATCATTTTCTGTTATCTAACCGCTCTCGGGCTCTGTGCTCGAGTCCGCTGATAACGCGTCTACTGGGTTCCGGACTGAAAAGAGGACACCTCTGTCCCCCACAGCTGCAATGACAGCTAGGCCGTAGGAGGGATGGAAACGATGAACACTGTTCATGGAAAGTCTTGAAATGAGGTCTTTTCTGGACGGCTTGGGGTGACTACGAAGAGCCCTGCTTAGAGGTAGTAGGATGAACTAAATGACCTTTTGTCCTTTAGGGTTAGGAACCCACAGATTCCTAGTGGGGAAAGTCTGGTACCTACCCAGTCGCCTGCTCAGAGCCTTGGGGTTCCCTTGGGTAAAGCGTCCTACTCTGGAAACTCAAGGCCTGGGTCTGCGTCTTTGTCTTAACCTAGAGCGGATCACTCTCTCTGCCCAAGCTTGCTTTCTCATCGGTAAGATGAGGAATCCGGAGCTCTTGGGCTCTGTGCTCGAGTCCGCTGATAACGCGTCTACTGGGTTCCGGACTGAAAAGAGGACACCTCTGTCCCCCACAGCTGCAATGACAGCTAGGCCGTAGGAGGGATGGAAACGATGAACACTGTTCATGGAAAGTCTTGAAATGAGGTCTTTTCTGGACGGCTTGGGGTGACTACGAAGAGCCCTGCTTAGAGGTAGTAGGATGAACTAAATGACCTTTTGTCCTTTAGGGTTAGGAACCCACAGATTCCTAGTGGGGAAAGTCTGGTACCTACCCAGTCGCCTGCTCAGAGCCTTGGGGTTCCCTTGGGTAAAGCGTCCTACTCTGGAAACTCAAGGCCTGGGTCTGCGTCTTTGTCTTAACCTAGAGCGGATCACTCTCTCTGCCCAAGCTTGCTTTCTCATCGGTAAGATGAGGAATCCGGACCTAATTCTTCCCAAAGTCCCATCCAGTTAAGATCCTGATCATGTGGAATAACCCAGTATATCCCGAATTGCAGGACCTTCCGACACGCGCAATAGAAGAGGCAAGTAATGGCTGCAGCAACGCATCAGGAGTGGATCCCGTTTGGCCTGGACCTCTGCCCAGTAGAGCAGGGACACTCAGCTGTGCTCCCCTCATCCACTCAGGAGCTCTCCTTCCCCTGCCCCTCACCTGCCAGAGCCCCCTCCCTGGAGGATGTGACTCAGCCCCTACAAGGAGGTGGAGGGGCTTTCCCTGGTGGCTGGAAGGCCCTTGAGAAGGCACTAGAGAGCCACTGAGTGTGGCCCAGGAGCCCTGCCAGGCTATGGGAGTGAGGGCTGAGGAGGAGTTCCCACCACTTTCCTCTTGCCGTAATGGGTTTCAGGTCAAAACCCTTACGCAGTAATGTTTCCCAACAGCAGAGGCCTGAGGAAGGCCCAGCTCCAGCCCCGGTTTCAGGTGGCTGACATCACAGCACTGGGGCAGCTACAGCTGGTAGGACACCTGTCCCCAGTGGGGACTGTGGCCCCCAACTACAGATGGGGAAACAGGTATGGGGAGGTGAGAGCTGGGGGGTCCAAGGTTTGAGCACCAAAGCCTCAAAGGGATGAGCCTCTACAGTTCCCTCATCCTACCCCTGCCAAAAGCAGTGCGGTGTGGGACAGTTTTTACTGCCCACCCGTCTTTGGGCATCGAAAAACCCAGTTAGGCAAGAATTGTGGCATCTTCCCAGATGTGCTACGGAAGTGGCAGCTAATGGCTGCAGTGATGCATTAGGAGCTAAAAATATGGCCAGAGTCACCCAGCCGTCCTGTGGAGGGATCTGTTTTCTGGGGCCTCAAGTACACGAATCGGTCATGCCTGCCCGATCTTGTAGGAGACAACTGGTGCTGCACAGGCCGTGGGCTGACCGCTTTTCAAAAACTGGACAGAGACCGAGACTGCACCGGCCACAGAAGCAAACATAGGCACCGTGCCTTGGAAAAATGTCCATGCCACCAATTTCAATTTGTCATTGCCAGGACCCAAGGTCTCCCCCACCTCAGTTCTGCTGACTGGGCTGTAGGTTTCCTGTCCAGCTCCATCCACAAGCCCAGGTACTCACCAAAGTTCCACTGAGCTGGTGGGCACCTCCTGTTCTGTTGACAGGGGCCTCTGGCTACTATGCTCATCCCAAGGAAGCTGAGACACTCATGCATTTAAATAATTTATGTGAACGACAGGGTGACACTGACTCTGCCGCAGAGAAATGAGGAAGTCAATCTGGTGCTGTTTCTGGGAGCAGAAGGTTGAGGAACTGGGAGAGCCTTCTGCACCGGCTTCCATGTTTCTGTGAGAGGCAGCTACCTGATGGCCTGTCTGAAGGCTCAGAGTCCATCCTGAGGCTCTCTCAATTCTTGAGAGATCTCAACCCAACTCATACCCCGAGAGCACGGTGCTGAACTGAGCTCACAGACTGAGTGAATGAATTGCAGGTCGATGCCCCAGGAACGATCCCATCTGTTTCCCCATCCGAATCCTCCAAGATCCCCTGGCCATGCAGGGCAGGGATGTTGTGACTGGGGAAAGGAAGGAGCCGAGCAGCCCTGCCCTCACCAGGTTCATTCTAGGAGGGTGTAAGGGGTGGTCCTCACCACTGGTCAAGAGTGACCTATGACACTTGGAGGCCAGATTCTGCCTTACACACACACTTCCTAACACTGTATTCCCATTTCTGTATCCCCCCCCCACCCCTTTAAAATGTTCCAAATAAGAAAAATTATGCCATGCAAGCAAGGCATCGTTTATTCATGAAACGTGTGTCAGGGCCTCTGAGTCTGTTTTGTCCAAACCCTCTGTTCAAGCCATGCCCTGGCTTGCTGAGGGCCAGCAGGCTCCAGTCCCCTCCGTGCTGCTCTGGAGAGTCCGGGTTCTGGAGCCAAGATGCGCCAACAGTGAATCCGTGCAAACTCCCAGAACTCATGAGAGAGTATCAGTGGCCTGTTTCTGGGGGACAAGACTAGACCACGCTCATGGAGGCCTGCAAGGCCCCCATTTGTCTGTCTGCACAGAATGGATGTTAGCCTTCCTGGGTCTGTGACCACCCTGTTGCTGGAAGAATTGAGGGAGGGCAGCCCAAGACCCTATGTCCTGGAGAGGATGTGCCTGGGCCTCCCAACCCCTGCCTATCCCTGCTCAAAGCAAATTTGCCTGTGGACTAATCGCCATCATTTCTGCCACCTGGGGAACTAGGCTCACAGAACTCGCTCTGCGGGTCCCCTCATCCAGGACTGAGGCTGGTTTCTCAGGTTACCTGCTAGATATGCACAGGGTCACCGCTGTTGGGCACACCATGACCTAGGGGTGCTGCTGCACAGGGGCGGACTGAGCATCCTGGGAGCCCACGCCATACACGCCCCGACCCACTGTCAGCCCACGGTTGTCACCCAGTCAAAGCTCCAGTGGGAGGCAGAGGGAGAGGGGGAGAGAGCTTGCTCACGCTGGGCTGCTCTGATTGTTTTCTGCAGTGTCTTCCAGAGATGTGGCTGGGGTATCTGACCTGTGCAGTAGGGTTAAAGCCCAGGTGCCAGGCCAGACCTGCCCCTAAAGACAGGTCCCCCATGGGTAGATGAAGCCATCTGGCTCAGCCCCTTCCCAAGGAGAGATCTGCAGGTGACAGAAGGGACCCATGCAGGTAAGCTTCGGGAGTGAGGGCCAACCACGGGGGTGGACAGTTCCAGACCATCAGTACCTCCTGCTCCCACAGGATCCCACCCATGCAGCCACGAGCCCTTCACCTCCCAGTGGGGGCACCGTGCACCACACACAGGGTGTTTTCACACATTGTCTGAGAGAGGTCACTCTTCTTTCCAAAGCTGGAGATCTCCTTTCTACGCAGGTATCACTGCTGATTCAGCCTGTTTCTAATCCCTGTGCTCCCCCCAAAAGCTTCCCAGCATCTCGACTCAACAAGCTACTCAAGCTTCTAGCACAAGAAGAAAAAGACCCCAGACTCACCTAATGAAGGAGCGGTTGCTAGCTTTCACTTAGCTGAGAGCTCCTAGGATTCCTAAGGCTGCAAACCTTAACTCAATAACACGCTGGTACGCTGCTAGAATTTGGTCAAGGATAGACCACACCTGGAGGCAGGTCAGCCAGAGACAAAGACCACCCGTCCAGCCAGCCAGCCACTCACTCACCCGTTGTCCCTCACTTACTCGTCATCCACTCACTCATCTATCCATTCATCAATCCATCCACACATCCATCTGTCCAACCACCCAGCCATCCTTCCATTTATTCATCATTCCCTCACTCATCTCTCTGTCCATCCACCTGTTCCTTCATGAGGCACTGCCTAATCTAGCAGACTCCAGCTAGAATGCCTCACTTCACCAAACATGGGCAAGTGTCACCTCCGAGGGTGTAAACACACTAATATATTGAATTCCAGCAATTCTGGGTAAACGTTTGGCCCAGGCCTTGCCAGGGCCATGGGGAAATGCAGAGGGCACTGCCCTGGGTAGCACAAGGGACACTTACGATCGAGTCCGTTCAAGTAGCGCATGCGGATCTCACAGTGGCCCCAGACGGCACTCACTACCGGATACAGTTTTTTGCCTTTGAGTCCCCGAAAAGCCACTCCCATGTATTGTCCATCCACAATGAAGCTCAGGGTCCCATCATCCATGTCTAGAGCCACCAGGAAGGAGTCGGGGACGATGAATGTCTCGTCTGGCTCCAGGAAAGCGGGGTACGTCTTGCTTGGCTGGTTTTTACCGTCATGGTAGAGTCGGTTACGCCCCAAGTCCCAGCCCCAGGACTCGTGGTTATTCCCTACAAGGGTTGTGTACCCAACGGAGTGCAGGGGGGCATCTGCTGTCGCCACCCCCACCACGGCATGTGTGCCCCGCTGCCTCATGGCCCACGTGATCTGCCACACGTGCAGCCCACGTGTGTACCCGACTTTTCCCCTGATAGCGTCTGTGCTCTGGGCCACCGGATGCCGGTGAAAGATCAGCTTGTCATCCTCCTTCACGAAGACGTTGAGTGAGCGGTCGTTGTTGTTCCATGAGTGGAGCAGCTGGACATCGTAGGACACGGGGGGCATGTCTAGCAGTAGGTCCAGCCGAGTGGGCTTGCAGTAATCCAGACCCTGGAGCTCCTGCTTCAGGGGCCGGTATGTGGGATCCCTCATGTCCACAGTCTTAATCCCGCCAGTGACCTTCTGACCCATGTTCGTCTTTGGTTTTACCTTCCCACCGACTCCCAAGGCAAAGTCATCAACCTGGGGGCCTCGCCTCCAGTTTTCCAGTCGAGCCAGGCAGAATTCCTACAGAGGGTTGCTAGGAGACCTCTGCGAGTCGTGGCACATTCAGTATTGCCTAGTGGACGGAAAGAAAAACAGGAGGCTGGTGAGCGGGGTGCAGGACGACGGGGGGAAAGCACAGCTAAACACACCAACACTTCCCAGCAGCCTGGTGTCTGGGCTCCCATTGCACCTGGGATGAGGCAAGCCAGAGCCCTGGCACAGAACAAAATTCCCTGCATCCCTATGGAACAAAATTCCCCTCTGTCCCTGTGCCCGTGCTGTCACAGAGGAAAGGGGCTGCTGGCCTCTACTACATGGAGAGGTGAGCTTGGGGGCCAGTGGGGTGCAGACTGTGTGGGGTGCGGACTGGACAGACATCCACTGACACATAGGGTTTCACAGTGCAGAGGCCAAGGCAGCGCAAAACCTGGAGTCAGTTGCTTTGCATGGACATTCACTCAGTCAAAACAAAGAGAAGTGCACTGTCCTTGCCTCCCTGTTTTGAAGGGAACAGGGAGCCCCACATACCAGCAGGGGCTACTGGAGATGCCAAATCCCAGCATGTCCTCTCTTTACCAGCACACTGCCTCCAAAGGATGCACCAGCAATTCCTTCTAGGGAACGGAACCACAGTGCAGATGAAAAACCCAACCTGGAGGTCCGTGTGCACTCAGTCTCCAGGCTCCACAGATCCTGGGTCCCACCTGGCCCAGAACCACCAGCATTGCTCTTCTCAAGTCTCTCAGACAAGCTTCAATTCATGTGGGCATGCGGGCTCTCACCCTGAGCCTCACCCTCAGGAAGTAGTGGATCAACTAACACTTAGATGGCTGACCACCTTCGTCCTGTTCACACCTTTCAACTAGAAGCCGAGGTTTTGCTGCTTGGGTCTCATCATTCCATCTGACTCCAAGACACCTTATTCCTTCTCTGGCTTCACCATCCCTCCTCTTTTATGGGAGAGTGGGCCACGGGTTCGCAGGACTGCTCTCGCTGTATCCTTCCTGTCCGTTCTGCACCTGTCCCTGTGCTCCTCATCGGCACCCCAGGAGGAGGCTGCAGATAGGACTGATGGGATCCCAGCATCCCTCAGCATTCAGAAGGGAAATAGCGTGTCATTCTGGTTTTCTGGGCCTCCCTCAAGAGAAAAAGCCCTTTCTGCCATTAAAACCTCCTAGGCCTCTCAAAAGGACTCCTGGTTGCTCAGTTTTGGGAACAGCCAGACAGGAAGGAAGGAAGACCCCTGGCTAAACAGACATAACTAAAAATGCACGTGTGGAGGAGCCTCACTGCTGGGAAATCATCACGCTTTTCCAAGAAGCACTAAGGCACTTGAAAAAAGGGGACAAAAAGGACACAAAGGAACCTAGTGTTGGAGAGGCTGTAGGCTCCTGAACCAGGGAAATCTGAGGATCTCAGCCAGGCCAGGATCTGCAGTGGGGCCCATCTGAACTGCTGCTCTGTCAGCTGGGAAGAGACCCCATGAGAAGGCATACTCAGGGTGACCAGGTCTCCTAGGGCCTTGCACCGAGAGGACCCTTTCTGTGGGAACTCCTGGTGTCCAGAACCCCACTTCCACGGGCAAACCATGCTTCTTGTTCTGCCCTTTCTGGTGGGAGGCACAGTGCTCCCTCTACTCCTTGGTATGGTCATCTCTTCAGAGGCAGGCCCCTTGTGTCTGAGGCCTGCAAAGTGCTACAGAACTGCAGTGTCCCTCTGCAGCCAGGGCTGCCCCACTTCTGTTCTGTGAAGGCTGTGACCTCACATCCTGAATCTTCCAGGGCAATCCCAACTTTCGCTTCCAGTCTCATCTGCTCTCTCAGGAGTCTCAGAAATCTCAGGACTTCTTCTCTAATCCTGCTGATGGGGCACTCTTGGTTGAGGGGTTGTGTGAGGATGAGGGGAGCCTGGGATTGCAGATGGAAATGTGATCCTGGTCACACTTGGCTGCAGTCTTCTCTGAACTCCCTGTCTCCATTTCTCCCTGACTGCCATTCAAGCACTTTCTGAGCTGGGGGTAGCTGGTCCGAGGTGGTTCTCAAAGTCTGAGCTGCATTGAGTGGGGCACAGAAATCCCCATACCAATCTCTCTGTCTGGACATCCCCTCTAGCTTGGTGCCCACTGGCCTCTGTGTCTTCAATTCTTCAGGAAGCTATGGGGTCAGAGGTCAGCTCCCTGGGAAGATGAGGAGGAAATTCACTTTCTCTAAGAGTGCATTTGACTGCTTCCTGAGTGAAGCAGCCTTTGCCCTCTGTCAGCTTCATGGTCACAGTGAGAGAAGTCTTTTCAACAAAGTGATTTCCAGTACTTGGAGTGAGCTGGGTCTCCACCCAGCTATGAGAAGGACCATAGCAGTTAGGTTGAGGGAGGCAAACTTTTATACGGAGAGCTAGAAGGTAAACATCTTAGGCTTTGTGGGCCAGACAGCAACTTGACTGCTGTTGTGGCAGAAAAGCAGCCACAGACAGTACAGAAATAGCTGAGCATGGCTGTGTTCCAATAAAACTTTATTTTTACAAGGACAGGTCAACCCCTGAGTGAGACTCAGGGCCCTCATGTGTTGTTTCCGTGGAAGACATAGCATTGCAAAGGCTGCAGCAGGTAAGCACTAGATGGCTGCCAGGACTCTCCCAGCAGCCAGATCAATCTAGCCTCAGGAAGAGTCACCAGGAAAGGTGACATCAACGTGGAATGCCCACTGTGTGTCAGCTCCACAGGCTCTTCCTAGTCCTGAGATACCACTACCTCTGGTGGCCCAGCAAGTCCACGAATACCAACCTGGTCTGAGCTTCTGCTGGGCTTGAGAACCTCTGGCCCTTGGATCACTGGCTTTGAGCAGTGGGAGTCCATAGGAGAGAGGAGGCTGGGGAGAGAGGGCAGGGCATTGCCCTTGGTAGGGAAGCAAGTAAAAATGCTTGTAGCATTGTGGGGTGACTCCCTCACAAGGGCATGCCAGAGGACATAAGCCGCTCACTCTGCTGCTTCTGTACCATCCTGCTACCTGTGTCACCTCCTAGGTGGCCAGTCACCGTGGTGACCCCAGGGTCACTCTTGACTCATCTGTCCCCTACCCTACCTACCTACGGTTAAATATGACACTTCCTTCTTGTGAACTTCCTACTGGCCACACCTGGCCACCTCCTTAGTGGGCAAGGAAATCAAAGCCAACTAACCACCTGTAGGGAGCAGCCCAAACCTGAGCAAACATGGTGATGTTTAGATACATGCAGAAACACGGTTCTATGGACAATCATTTGGAGGGCAATGAATGACATTAACATGTGAATATACTATCTGCCTGCATTTCTGAAACTGCCAAGCAGTATCAGTTTAAAGAAGTCACATGTCTTAATCAGAATTTGCCCAAGAAATTTAGGGAAAACTTACATAGGACTACATGGCACCAGGTGTCTTTGATCTTCAGCCATTTAACACCTAAAAACAACTAGCTTTGCATTCCACTTTCCATTCCCCCATTTTCTGCCCCTTAAAAGAATAAACCTGGGTATGATTTGGGGCCATAGCTGTCTCGATCAGAGCAGTCAAGTTCACCTGATTCCTGCTTTTATTTACTTGTACATCTTTGTGTGTTTATTTTTATGTTTATTCTCTAATCCACAGCTCCTCCCATACACACATACACTCAGGCAGGCATTTCTTTAGCCATGACAGACATGGCAGCACTCTCCTCTTTCTGTTCATCTAACAACGTGGTCATGCAGATCCACCCTTCCTGTAGGTCCCCAGGAGCTGGACTCACCACCTTCCCTGGCACTCAGCCTGACAGGATGCTTCTCAGCCCTGCAGCCTGAAGTGGCCTGGACCACTGACTAAGACTCACCCTCAGCATTCCCAAGCTTCCGTTTGCTCATTGTTAAGATGGGTGTCACCACTGTGTCACACACTTAGCCACAACTCAGTGGAGACAATGTTCCAGAGAGCTCAGCACAACTGGCATTTTCACACTTATTTATATTTTCTAGACTGTGCTCCATCACTGAATAAAGAGCGCTGCTAACCAGACTTCCCAGTCACTTCACACCTGGCCCCGAAGATGAACATCGTCACTGGGCCAAGCCCCAGGCACTTGGAATGCAGAGAAAGAGCAGATCAATTTTAAGGTCCCTTTTAAACCAGGGGTTGGCAAACCTGTGCTGTAAACGGCTAGATAGTAAACATCTTAGGTTCTTCAGACAATATGTACACATGTACACAAATGGGCATGGCTATGTTTATGTTTAATAACACTGTATTTACAAAAACAGTGTGCTAGATTTGGCCATAGTCTATGGTTCACTGACCCCTATTTTTTTCTTTAGATTTTTTTTTTTTTTTTTTTTTGCTATAGGGTTTATGCGCCCACCAGAAAGAAACAGAGAGAGGGAAAGTGAGAAATCGGTCTCTGGGGGTAGAGGGATAACCACATTGTAATTGCTTCGCCTTCATCCTTTTCTGGGGACTCTGGGCATGTACACATGAGCCAGGTGTGTTTTTCAGGCCACTGGACCTGGGACTTGAACTGTAGAACTGGTTATGTGGGATCCAGAACCTTCATTATCATGCGCCTGCTGGCCCCAGGTGACCTCTGTTTTAAATCCATGCAAAACTGCTGACACCCATCACTGAAGTACCTAGACATAGCGCTTGGGATGGGGTGGGAATGCATGCCACAGGATCAGGAAGCAGTCCAGCAGTGGGCACCAAACTTTAGGTAGCAAATGGGAGGACCAGTACAGGTGCAAGTTCTGGGATCCCATCTCCCCACCCAATTTCTGCCATTCAGAAAAGGAAACACAGATGCCCAGGGCTTGCAGGAATATACAGGAGCGTCAGGGCCTGAGGTTGCTGAGTTGGCAACTGGTATGTCTCAGAGGTGGGAAGACTCAGTCCTGGCCCCCACCCAAGAGAAGCAAAGTCACAAAGGGTGTGCAGGGTGGGGCTGTATATACCACCCTGCAGGGCTGCAATGGGAGAGCAGAGGACAGCAGTGCCCTGTGGCTGGGGGCCCGCCCT